GGCCTGGGCGCTGTCCCTCAGCTCTTCAGCTCAAGGCTAGCGCTCTACCACTTGAGCCACAGCACCACTTCCAGCTTTTTCTGCTTATGTGATGCTGGGGAATCGAACCCAGGGCCTCCGGCATGCAAGGCAAGCGCTCTACCACTGAGCCACCTTCCCAGCCCTTCAACATACTTTTAAAGAACAGTGAACACAAATGCTTCCCAACCAGGTAGAATTGATTGGTTTCTGATGAGTTTAATAATCCAGCCCCTCTATCCCTCATCTATCTATGTGCTACTAGAACCTGCTTGATAGCCTGATGAAGTAGCCTGACACTAAAGATAACTCATATATACATTCATGAGCCCAGACTAGCACTGCTTTCCCAGGAAGCTACAGGCTGAGGTTGAAAATGTCACTGCCACTGCCTCTGCCAACTGAACTTTCTCCTCCACCTGCCTGCCCAGTAGTTCCCTGAGAACTGACCCCGGCTGACACGCCTTGAACAGGTGCCCTATTAAACATGAAGCAGCAGGGTTCTTGTCTTTGGGGTTTAAAAGAGTACCAGCAAAGAATACATCTCACCTCTGGGAGCATTAGCTCTTCCCCCAAACTAGATTTTCAAGGCACTGTTTTTTTTTTTTAATTTTTATTTATTTTTTATTGTGAAAATACTGTACAGAGGGGTTACAATTATATGGGCAAGATAATGAGTACATTTCTTATCAAGCATTGTAGTCTCATTTGTTTCCCCTTCCTATCCCTTCCCATCCTCCCCCCACCGCCCCACCCAATCCTCCCTGCCTCCCCCCCACCAAAGTTGTAAAGTTCGTTTAGACATAACGACTTGTGCTTCTCATTGTTGCAACGGGTCCACCTGTATCCCTACTTAAACGATTTGTTTTTCCCCTTCCTCTCCACTAATTATACCGACATCAAATGCAGTCAAAGCAGGGGTTATACTGTGGGGGAGGGACATACAAAGCAACAAAGAAATAATCTTATAAATGAGTTAGAAACAATCGCATGAAAGAAAAAAAGACATTTAAATACATATCTTAGGGTTCATTTCCCTAACATCACCTTATCTGACCTTTTCTGCTTGACTCAGACATATACTAGATATTGCA